GCAAGCGGTGATCCCCTGCGAGGGGTTTTGCCCGTGGGAGCAGTAGCTGCAAGCGCCGCTGCCCTGCAACGCCTCACCCCGTGGGAGAAGTGGCCGCAGGTGCTATTGCCCCGCGGTGCCTCTACTCGCGGGCTGCCATTCCCACAGGCCGCAAGCCTACTGCAAGCAGGCCGCCGGCCGGCTGCTGCAGGCACAACGCTTGCGCATACGCTGACGCTGTGCTGCCTGGCTACGGCTACCGCTACAAGTGGCTGCACACACGTAGATCGAGGGTAGCAACTATTGTTGTCCTTCCTCGCTTTTGCATCAAGGATTTTGACGTCAAAAGTTTCTCTAAAACATAATATACGCAGTTCAAAACCAATCTATCGCACGAATAACTTGGCTCTAATACAACTATTGGTAAATGTTTGGGGGCAACATCACATGCGCAGCGAAAGAACAGAAAACAAAATCCCTTATTCCCAAAGAGATGTTCGTTGTCGAGCGAAGATTGGTGTATAAAAATCCGCAAAACTTAAAACTGCGTATAGAATAGATTGTGTTACCTAGGGAGATCGTATATCCCTGTTTCCCTACAGATCTTTAGGAGAGGGTGAAGGAGGTCAAGCGCCCTCCTCTCTAGCGGTGATCCACACAGTAGGGCTACAACGACGCTCCTCAAAACTCCAGGCCCACTCTGAGGTGGAGAGGGGGAGGAGAATAGGAGAGGCAAGCAAAGGCTCTAGCCTATGAACCATTGAATCCCTCCTATTTATAGAGGTCCCCTATCAACTTAACCCTAATAGATCCTCCCTTATTGGGTATTGGATCTTCATCCAACTACCCAAGCCTCTTAGATTAATGGATCTCTATCCAATAATCTCTTATGAGCTTTTATTAGATCTCGTCCTTGGGATCCAATAATTCAGGGGTTTATTGGATATCCAATAAGATGGGGGTCCGATGGATATCTCATATTCAAACCTCTACTCAATGCGATGCCTACCATATGTGTGTGACCCTCTAGACCCAATATCAAGCTGACCATGAGTCATACATGTCAGAACTCCTTCTAGCTTAGTGAATTATTATCTTCATAATAATTCACTCGACTCATCGACTGCGGACGTATTAGGCCACTACGTCGCAGTCCCCAAACGATATAGGGGAATCCAATCCATTAGACCTATCTGTCCTCAGTTATCGTGTACCTATAGTCCCTCATCCATCTAATATCCCAGAGACCGTATACCGGGCATGGTGCTGTCAGACCCATACGGTTTCTACTCGAGTCTCGCTCTAATCGGATTCTCCCGGAGAACTCTTTCTCTCTCAATCCGAATGACCCTGGCTAGGGATTTGTTTGAGCAAGAACATATGGGATATTCCTCTCATGACACCGAGAGTGGATGATCCTTTATCAACACTCACTAGCCCTCGTAAGGTTGACTACCACTCCCAATGACTGGCTGTACAAGATCTGGGACATCCAAACCTATAAGTCAAGTATCAAAGAATGGAGCACTCATACAGGACATCCTTGGTGTCTCAAGTCTAAGGACCAAATACACCACTAGGACTACGGAATCGTTGTTTGACAATAAAGTATCATCAACCATCCAGCATTCCGTAAGTGAATCAATCAGTGAACTCATTCTCTAATAAGCACCTGTACTGTATCCCTAGTGTCCCTACACGAGCAGCTATGAGACTAGCTGCATCAATCATATGGACGGGTATACAGCACACCAGTCTGTCCGGTTATCTCGATGTCCTTTTCAAGTAACCTATGATCGGGATTATTTAGGATCTATGTTTAAAGGCGAATCAGTCTCATTATCATGATCTCATCACGATCCGATTTCTATTGAACATATCTAAGGACATCATAATATATACATGCATTTATGCAATAGTCAATATAAAGTGATAAATGCCAAACTATAATAAGCAAAAAGATTCTGTTCAAGTCACACGTGACATCACTCACGTGATTGGCTTACTGGGCACCTATGACTAGCAAAGGGCGTCGCCCCTACAGGTGGGCGCCCCCGCGGGTGCAATGCCCGCAGGTACCACGCTTGCGAGCGACGACCTCTCTTGCGAGCGCTGTGCCACCCGCACGTGGCTCGCCCCTGCGGGCAGGTCGCTTGGGAGCGACGTTGCCCCTACGGGTGTTGTGCCCGCCGGTGGGGCGCTCATGGGCTGCCAGCCCCCCGCCGGTTGTAGGCCTACTGCAAGTAGGCTGCTAGCCAACTACTGCAGGTGTAGCACCTGAGCGTGCGCTGGGGCTGTGCTGCCTGCTTGTGGCCGCCTCCCTTATGGCTATCACTGCATGCGGCTGCATGCACATAGATGGCTGCCATCTACGAGGGCAACAAGGCTAGCAATAGTTGCTTTCCTTTCTCGCTTTTGCATCAACGATTTTGATGTCAAAAACTACTCCAAAATACAACACATGCAGTTCAAAACCAATCTTTCACATGAACAACCTAGCTCTGATACCACTATAGAAAAATCTAGGAGCGGAAGAACATTAAAAATAAAATCCCTAATTTCCCAAAGATGTTTTCGTCATCATGCGAAGATTGGTGTGCAAAATCTGTGAAACTTAAAACTACGTATATAAAATATTATGTTACCTAGGGAGATCGTATATCTTGGAATCCCTACAAATTTGTAGGAGAGGGTAAAGGAGGTCAAGCATCCTCCTCTCTAGCGATAATCCACATAGCAGGGCTGCGACGATACTCCTCAAAACTCCAAGCTTGCTATCTGAGGAGGAGAAGGGGAGGAAAATAGGAGATGACAACCCAAAAAGGCTCTAACCTTTGAACCATTGGTTCCCTCCTATTTATAGAGATCCCCTATCAACTTAACCTTAATGGATCTTGCCCTATTAGGTATTGAATGTTCATCTAACCACCCAAGCCTTTTAGATTAGTGGATCTCTATCTAATAATAATCTCTCATTAGCTCTTATTGGATCTCATCTATAGGATCCAATAATTTTTGGGCTTATTATATATCCAATAAGATAGGGGCTCCGACGAATATCTCATATCTGAATCTCTGCTCATCGCAATGCCTACCATATGTATGTGACCTTCTAGGCCTAATATCGAGCTAGTCATAAGTCATACCTATTAGAACTCCTTCTGGTTCAGTAAATTATTATCTCTATAATAATTCACTCGACTTATCGACTATAGACGTACTAGACCACTATGCCGCAATCCTCAAACGATATAGGAGAATCCAATCTATTGGACCTATTTGTCCTTAGTTATCATATACATATAGTCCCTCATCCATCTAATATCCCAAAAATCGTATACCGGAGGACATGGTGCTGTCAGACCCATATGGTTTTTGCTCGAGTCTCGCTCTAATCGGTTCTCCCGGAGAACTCTTTCTCTCTCAATCTGAATGACCCTGGCCAAGGAATTGTCTGAGCAAGAACACATAGAATATTCCTCTCATGACACCGAGAGTGTATGATCCTCTATCAACACTCAATAGTCCTTATAAGGTTGGCTACCACTCTCGATGACCGATTGTACTAGATCTGGAACCTCCAAACCTATAAGTCCGGTATCAAAGAATGGAGTACTTATATAGGATATCCTTGGTGTCTCAAGTCTAAGAACTAGATACACTACTGGGACTATGGAATTACTGTTTGACAATAAGGCATCATCAACCATCCAGCATTATGTAAGCGGATCAATCGGTGAACTCATTCTCCAATGAGTACTTGTATTATATCTCTAGTGTCCCCACATAAGTAACTATGAGACCGGCTATATCCATCATATGAACGGGTATACAACACACCAGTTTATCAGATTATCTCGATATTTGTCTCCAGTAACCTATGACCGAGATTATTTAGAGTCTGTATTTAAAGGTGAATCGGTCTCATTATCGTGATCTTATCACGATCCGATTCCCATTACATAGCTCCAATGACATTACAATATATACATGTGTATATGCAACAATCAATATAAAGTTATAAAATGTCAAAATATAATAAACAAAATGATTGTGTGTCAAGTCACACTTATCATCACTTACATGATTGGCTTGCAAGACACCTATGACTAGCAGTTAAACCATCTTGGATCTTTGGTCACCTGTCTCTTCAGAGCTTGTAAAGTATATATTTGTAATTTATATTGTTTATCAAATATTTGTTAAACTGTCTACTTATGATTAAATATTTTTTCTAACCCATTTTTTCTTTTGTAGATAAGGTTTATAGGATCGAAAAAGGTTATAGAGAAGCTAAACAAGCTAAACCTTTGTGAATGAATATGTAAGAGTGCTATACGATTTAAAAAAAATCAACTAAATCCATAATAATGTGTTGTGGAAGGACATTACATACTTTTTCCGGTGTGAAGCTGATATAATGGAGTTTGATGTGAGAAGCTCCACCCGAGACAGTATTATTTCATGCTCCTACGAACAATGTAGAAGCACACGTTCCATATCGAGGACTTTGTGACATTGGTGTTGAAGACGAGCATCGCACTAATGGCAATGAAGGATGGGGTCAGTGCTGACACTGAGAGGAGGCAGATGGCTAAACCATTATTAGAGGTTAGTAGTAGAGTCATCAAGAAGGGAGGGCCTCAAGGCGAGGACTTAATAACTTCTCAATGACTACGAACGAGAGTCTAAACAGCAATAACGATGAACGAAAACATCGGATAATAACAAAGAGGTATTACGAATATTACAAGAAATAAGAATATCATATAAGGAAAATAAAAAAGATATATTTTTAAATTTTTTTTTTAAAACTGTGGTTTTCGTTTGGATGGAAATCGACCGATAAATATAGATATATAGGAAAAAGAAATGTTGGGAGGTGAGAATCAAGATCGCGTGTAGGCTCGTGTGACCAGAAAAATATGGGGAATTGAGTTATCGTGGCGACGGTGCTTGCCACGTATCCCAACCCGCAATGACATCGCTTCTTCCCTCTTCTGTCTCGCACAACAAAGAAATATCCTAGTCCCCTTCGAATTGTCTCCTGTGCTTAAACCCAACCCCCAGCCCCCCTCCCCCTTCTCTCTCTCTCGCTCTCCATCCCCACCTTCGTTTCCCTGTCGCGACTCCGCCAACCAAGAGGGATTGAGAAGCGATCACCCACTTCGAAGCTGGTGAGTCTGTCTTCAGCCTTCTTTAAGCCTTCCTTTTCCGATCCTCCTTTTCGGCGTTCGGTACTTTCTGTTCTTGAAAAGGAATAAAAAAGGCTTTCTTTAAGATAGATATGTAGATTATGTCAAATAAATTGCGTTCTTGAAGGATTCCATCTCTTTGGTTATGTTTATATTAAGGCCACGATGTAGGTGGCCAAGGTTGCAGAAAGGATTGATGGATTCTGAGCTAAAATTCCAAGACGGTAATGTCTCTTGTGATGAGCGCTCGCACTTATTACGGTGTAGGTCGTGCTTGAATGTGCCGATAGGTTGCCGATGGATTGGATCATGCAAATGTTTTGCGGTCATCTTGCTTATCGACTGATGCGTTTAAGAGAAAAAGATCACCTTTTTGCAGTTCTTTCTCGTTATAAATTAGTATCTTCATCTTTATTCTTCAAAAGAAGTTTGGGAATTATGAAGGAGATGTGGTAGTTTGGCATTTAATGTGGATTCTAGTTTTGAATGGAAAGGGATATGAATATATAGATTGGCTACAACATGATGCCCTAGAAATATGGTGATCCAGTAAACCTACTTTCTTTGCTGAGTTAATCTTTACTTTCATAGGTTAGTCAACTTTGGTACCATTTCATTGGTTTGGGTCTGTCCACAACCTCAAAATTTCTAGTTAGAAACCAAAAAGTATATCCATGTGGAACATGGACTTCCTGAACCATAATGAGCTGAACATGGATGTTTGAACTTGTGCTTGGTATCTCAAGCCCGCCCTTGGTTTAATTGAGCCAAGCTTGTAAAGGCTTAGTGTGTTCAAGCTTGGATTGCTTGCATCACCGTGGTATCTCACTCCCTTCTCATATGAGCATACAGTTTTGTTTGTTGATTCAAAATTAACTTGATTTGAGCTCATTCTGTGGTAGCAAATTTTTATCATCAATCTGACTTCTCTTTCCTTGTGGCTGTTCAGGGAGAAATAATGGCAGCTTCAACAGTATGCCTGAAGACAAGACCAAGATTTACAAAGGAGATTTTTGGAAGTCATCTCACTTGTTCGGCAGGCCTTCCTTCACTCTCTGTTTTATCTAAGCGAATCTCCATTTCTGCCTCTTTGGACCAGAAGCAGCGTGAAGGAAGAAGAGGATTTCTTAAGTTGCTCCTTGGAAATGTTGGATTAAGCTTGACTACCATAGTAGGTGCAAGGAAAGCTTATGCTGATGACCAAGGTGTATTATCTTCAAGAATGTCATACTCGAGGTTCTTAGAGTATCTAGACAAGGATAGGGTGAAAAAAGTTGACTTGTTTGAGAATGGAACTATTGCAATTGTAGAGGCTGTTTCTCCTGAGCTTGGTAATCGGATCCAGAGAGTCCGTGTGCAACTTCCGGGTCTCAGTCAGGAGCTTCTTCAGAAATTGCGAGAGAAGAGCATTGACTTTGCAGCACATAATGCTCAGGAGGACTCTGGATCTCTTTTGTTCAATTTGATTGGGAACTTAGCTTTCCCCCTTATCCTTATAGGAGGCTTGTTTCTTTTGTCAAGACGGTCATCAGGTGGACTCGGTGGACCCGGAGGCCCTGGCTTTCCCCTTGCCTTTGGCCAATCAAAAGCCAAGTTCCAGATGGAACCTAACACAGGGGTCACTTTTGATGATGTTGCTGGAGTAGATGAAGCAAAACAAGACTTCATGGAAGTAGTCGAGTTCCTGAAAAAGCCAGAAAGATTTACTGCAGTGGGTGCCCGTATCCCTAAAGGTGTCCTTCTTGTTGGTCCTCCAGGAACTGGGAAGACCTTGCTTGCTAAGGCAATTGCTGGTGAGGCAGGTGTCCCATTTTTCTCAATTTCCGGATCTGAATTTGTAGAAATGTTTGTTGGTGTTGGTGCTTCTCGAGTTCGTGATCTTTTCAAGAAGGCCAAAGAGAATGCTCCTTGCATTGTGTTTGTTGATGAGATTGATGCTGTTGGAAGGCAAAGAGGAACAGGAATCGGAGGAGGAAATGATGAAAGGGAACAGACTCTTAATCAGCTTTTGACCGAGATGGATGGCTTTGAAGGCAATACAGGTATAATTGTGATCGCAGCAACCAACCGCGCAGACATTCTAGATTCTGCTTTGCTTCGACCTGGGCGATTTGACAGACAGGTTTTTAGCAAGTCTTTTTCTTCTAATCAGATATTTTTAAAATCTGCAGTGGAGACGTTGACTGTTACAATTGAATTTAGATTATTAATAGCCATTGCATCTACAAAATTGTTATATTTGCTGATTTCTTTTGATCTGATGTTCTGAGAAATTGAGATTATAATTTGCAGGTTACAGTAGATATTCCAGATATTAGGGGACGCACAGAAATACTGAAAGTGCATGCTGGCAATAAAAAGTTTGAGAGTGATGTTTCACTTGATGTTATAGCAATGAGGACTCCTGGTTTTAGCGGAGCAGATCTTGCAAATCTTTTGAATGAAGCAGCCATACTGGCTGGGCGCCGTGGTAAGACAGCAATATCATCGAAAGAGATAGATGATTCTATTGACAGGATTGTGGCTGGAATGGAGGGAACAGTAATGACAGATGGAAAAAGCAAAAGTCTGGTTGCATATCATGAAGTCGGACATGCAATTTGCGGGTGAGAATAGCCTCTTATGTTACTTTTCTTCATTTTGTCTTTTGTCATTCTGTTGAATTCTGACCAAGCAGTGTGGCCTGTTCCTGAATGCTTTGGCGATTTCTTTTTCTTTTTTCCCTCGAAAATGAACAAACTGAAATCAACTTAGAGCCTTTCTGACACTTCTAGCAATGTGTAATCATTCTGGTATTTCTTTCCCGATTGCAGATATTACCTGTTAAACCTAATTGTTGTAGCTCTTCATATGTAGGCTTCCAGAAAGTCAAGCTTTTGAGTGTGAATTCCTCTAAAATGTTGATCCATTGTTCTTTCTCTCCTTGACATATGTTTTGATGGTAGGGAAGTGAGATCATGCTCACAATGGATCAACTATATTGGAAACCACAATTAACTACTGTATGACAGTTTTCTGGTTTCGACCTTTGCATTATAATTTAACTACCTCTGAGAAGTTTCTGTTTAGTTATCATAATGTCAGAGTTGTGTCAAACGGAGTGTAAATTAAGATGTCGGACCTCTTATATTCTTTTGCAAGGGGTAAGTTTTGACTGATACTTAAATTTCTGTTGGAAACAGTCATCACCTAACCTGTTTTGCTGTTTGTATTTTTGTCATTCTCAGTCTGTTTTAGTTGGTTTTAGCTGTTTTCTTCGCTATGACCATGAAAACCTTGGCATCATATTTACCTAATTGACATTTCAAAATTGCAGAACATTAATTCCAGGACATGATCCTGTGCAAAAGGTCACCCTCATTCCACGTGGCCAAGCACGTGGACTGACATGGTTCATCCCCATGGATGATCCTACGTTGATTTCAAAGCAACAACTTTTTGCAAGAATTGTTGGTGGCCTTGGAGGTAGAGCTGCTGAGGAGGTTATCTTCGGGGAATCTGAGGTGACCACTGGTGCAGCTGGTGACCTGCAGCAGATTACTGGCTTGGCCAAACAGGTTAGTGTTACTACCTTACTTTTCAGTTTACAGAGCATCAAGAAATTGCTATCCCTTGCACGTCAAATGGTGAATGATAATAATCTTCCTCACCAAAATACGGTAATTCTTCTCAAATCCTTAGTTATTTCTTACACTTGTGCTTTACTAATAAATGAATAAAAGTTGAAAAAGGGAAGTGATAGGCACAGAGATATAGAGCTGTTCTTTGGCATTGAAAGCCCTTTAATTTCTGTGGTTGTTGCTTGATTCCTTGTATGTGTTGCATCATCCCAAGCTACATGTTGACATACTATGGTCATAGTACCACACAAACTACGACATACTATGGTCATAGTACCACACAAACTACTTTCTTCTGTCGTCATATTGATATTGTAAAAGATCTATTTAAAGTTGTGTTTTTTCTATGGCATAAAAGAATTTTCTGTTTGTCAGCAGGCAGAGATACCTTGTTGGCAGATGTTCTGGTGTTTGACATTATGTCTGCCCAGAAAACATCTATGAACATGATAAAATTATGATTATAAGGAACTAAGAACTCTGATCAAGATGATTGTCTTCTATGACATATATATTAACGACCGATTTAAGACAGATGAAAATGTGGTGAATATTTTTCATTATAAGTATGCATCTATGGTCTTAAACATCTCGTGACTTTTGCTATCCTTTTTTTGTGTTTTTCTTCTCTTCTTGTTGCAGATGGTGGTGACATTTGGTATGTCTGATATCGGTCCATGGTCACTAATGGATTCATCAGCACAAAGTGGTGATGTTATTATGAGAATGATGGCCAGAAACTCAATGTCTGAGAAACTTGCTGAAGACATAGATGCTGCTGTGAAGCAGATCTCAGACAAGGCGTATGAGATTGCGCTGAGTCACATTAGAAACAACCGGGAAGCCATGGATAAGATTGTCGAGGTACTCCTAGAGAAGGAAACAATGACTGGTGATGAATTCCGAGCAATTCTTTCAGAGTTTGTGGAGATTCCTGTCGAGAACAGGGTTCCTCCAGCCAGACCAGCTGCTGTCCCGGCTTAACATCTTCTTGTCATCAACTCTTTTATGTGCGAAGCCCTTCATGGGTGAGCATGTCATGTACAATCTGTATAACCTCCTGTTGATCCACAGCAGTTGAATTATAGCTGACTGTGATATCTTCAAACAATCTTTGCTGTTCTTTTGAAACGATTTTCACTACAGTTGAGGTTGCCACAGAATATTAATTAAGGTGTAGTGTTATGTACAATCTAATATAACATGTTTAATCATTACTGAATTGTTTATCTTTTGTGACAGGAATTTCTGCTTTAAATTTTCTTATAGGGCAATCTATTTGACTATGAACAAATAGGACATGTAATTTCTAGTTTGATGATTGAACCCTAATGGATTGCTAGTGCAAAAGATACTGACTTGGCTTGCTTTTTATGTTGAAATACCTAATTCAAGAAGGAAGTGTTGGTGAACTTATGTGCAGTGGTTGATGAGTCAGCACGGCCTGGTCCATGAGTCGATGTCGGGAGTCTTCGGTCAGCTGAGCTGGTTGCCAAGGTCGGTCAAGCCCTCGAAAACGGGGTGTTGGCGTCGGAATGTTGATCGGCGTCTCTCAGTTCGGACGTCGGTTGGCGACTCGCCGTCGAGATGCTGGTTGACGACTCCAAGGGCAGCCGCTTTCCTACAAAGATGGCCCTCGTCGGGTGATTACCGACTTTGGCCCATCCGATGAGCAAGTCAGTTGTGCGTTGATTTGTTTTTGCCTCCCCCTGGGTTGGATGCCGGCCATGGGCTTTTATACTAGTGTACAAGGGTCGATCGTACGCGGGTTTGGCGTGACGGTTGATCCTCGAGAGGTGAGATGGTACCTTTGTGCGGTCGTCGTCCCGGGACGTACCGAGCATGCCTTGGTACGGATTTTGGCTCGGCGTGTGGGGCTCTTGCTAACTTGGCTGTAGCGTGGCGTGGCATTGATCATGACGTGGCCTGGACCCAAAATATACCTTATCACTTCTCCCTCCCATCGAGGCGTGTTGTGGGGTCCTTGCGAGAGGGCGAGGGGCGCGCTTGGGTCGGAGTGCCGCGGATGTGTTGATTGCTTGCCAGGGAAAGTTGGATTGGCTCGTCGTGAGGCAATTTGGGGGGCGGCGCCCTGTGCTTTGGGAAGGGTTGGCATTGTTAGTCAAGTGACTGGGCCCAGATAGGATGATGTTGGCGAGTCACTGGTCAGGGTACCGAGCTGTGTGACTCGGGAAGAGACTAGACCTGTTGGCCAAGTAACTGATCTCGGGCTCATATTTGAGGCTGGCGAGTCACAAGTCGGGGGACCGATCTAGCGCGACTCGGATAAAGACTGGCGAGTCGCAAGTTGGGGACCGATCTGGCGTGACTCGGATAAAGACTGGCTAGTGGCAAGTCGGAGGACCGATCTGGCATGACTCAGGAAAAGACTAGCGAGTAGCAAGTAGGGGACTGATCTAGCGCGACTCGGATAAAGACTAGCGAGTCACAAGTCAGAGGACCGATCTGGCGCGACTCAGGAAAGGACTAGGCTTGTGGGCCGAGGGACTGTACTCGGGTTCAGGCAGGACTGACGAGTCACGGGTCAGGGACCAATCTGGCGCAACTTGGATGAAGACTGGGCTTGTGGGCCGATGTTCTACACTCGGGCTCAGGCATGAAAACTGACGAGTCGCAAGTTGGGGGACCGACTTGGCGCGACTCGGATAAAGACTAGCGAGTCGCAAGTCGGGGGACCGATCTAGCGTGACTTGGATAAAGACTGGGCCTATGGGCCGAGGGACTATACTCGGGCTCAGGTGGGATTGACGAGTCACAAGTCGGGGACCGATCTAGCGTGACTCGGGAGAAGATTGGGCTTATGGGCTGAGGGACTGTACTCGAGCTCAGGCAGGACTGACAAGTCGCAAGTCGGGGACCGATCTTGCGCAACTAGGATGAAGACTGGGCCTATGGGCCGAGGGTCTGCACTCGGGCTCAAGCATGAGGACTGACGAGTCGCAAGTTTGGGACAGATCTGGCGCGACTCGGATGAAGACTAGGCTTGTGGGCCGAGGGTTTGCACTCGGGCTCAAGCATGAAAACTAACGAGTCGCAAGTCGGGGGACCGACTTGGCGCGACTTGGATAAAGACTGGCGAGTCGCAAGTCAGGGGACCGATCTGGCGTGACTCGAATAAAGACTAAGCCTGTGGGCCGAGGGACTGTACTCGGGCTTAGGCAGGACCGACGAGTCATAAGTCGGGGACCGATCTGGCACGACTCGGGAAAAGACTGGCGAGTCGCAAGTCGAGGGACCGATCTAGT